AGGAAACCAGTAGGAGTGGTTTACCTCTGATGAGGGAAGCTGTGGGAAGATGAAACGCTTGTCACTATCTATTCATTTATATCTTTTGAGTCTGTTGCTAAGCGTCTGTATTGCCTATTCAAAATTAACAAAAACTTAAGCCAACTACATAAAGAAGCTTGGAAGTTGGATTTTTTTTTTCTTAGCAACTTTTGATGTAATGTCAAATTTACAGAAATATTGCAAGAATCCTGCAAGAAACTTCCTTGAAGCATGCCTCCCATTTAGTTACGTCTTTGATTTCTTATAATCTGGAGTATTTTTCCACCTGTCCCTGTTTACTTGACTGTGAAATTTTCTAGTTATTTTGTAGACTGTCCTTCAATTTAGGTTTGCCTTCCATTTCCTCCTGATTAGGTTTAGATTATATGCTCCTGGCAGACACCACAAAAGTGGTTGTTTTGTCCTTCTCCATGCATGCGATCCGGTCACAGTATGTGTCAGGGTTCTCGGCCTGCAGGAGGTGGGTGAGGCTCTCCTTCAGGGCACACACAGAAGCTTTCGGGTCACTTTGTGGCACCTGAAGCTGGGAATTTGAACCCTTAAACTCATCCTTTACCTTCACCTCCTTATCCAGCAATATTAGGAGCTACCAGCCAACCTCATATATTTGTTCGTCTACTCTTTTTTTTTCTTTTTATTGTTATTTTTTAATTTTAATTTTTTAATTTTTTTTCTTAGTTTCAGGTGTACAACACAGTGCAATAGTTATACTTTTTACCCCTCAAAGTGACAGCCCTCCTCCCCCAATCCGCCACCCCACTTCCCCCCCCATATCATACATATCTATTACAATTCCATTGACTCCACTCCCACACTGTACTCCACGTCCCGTTACTATATATATGTCATACAGTCACCCAGCTCCTTGCTTCTTGTAAGAGGTCGATTCGGAGTGTCCAGTGCAGATATTTTGTTTCTCTGTTGCCAGGTCACACCATGGGCTGTCGAGGCTGTCTTTACTACCAGAAATAGAGTCATCAGTTGTTGTTTTATAATAAATGTTTCAGAATTCCTGTAGAAAAGACTGTTGTCCTCCAAAGGCATTTTTTACATTTTCTCCATTGCTACTCATTAATCCAAAACCTTTGTAGAACCTCTTCGTTTCATTCAGAAGACCGTGAAAATATCTGGCCCATTCAATAAATATTTTTGAACTTCTTAAGGAAATTACATTTTAAAAATCAGTTATGGTTAAGCTATTTTTAACTATCTGGGGAGTTCTATAGAAAATATCTGAACAGAACGAATACCATACTACTGATGTTAGGCATAGGGTATCAAGAAGGCTTACGAGAGGAGCTGATGTGTAAGGCTTTTGAAGGAGTAAGTGAGAACCTGCCAGGCTGATGGAGGAGGAGACTGGGTGGGGAAAGGGTACCCTAGGCAGAATGAACCCCATGGGCAAACTATGAAGTCAGGGTACTCTTGGGAATTGTAAATAGCTCATTGCTATGAAGGCAAGAGTGACGGGGCAGGGGGTGGGGGGAGGGATTGATGGGTGGAAGTGTGTGGATGGTTAGGAGAGTCCAGTGAAAAGTGGGGGCCAGAACACAAAAGACTCGTGTGCTCTACTGTGGAGCTTGTATATTGCTCTTTAGCAGTCTTCATTGAAAGGGGTTTGTTGTGATAATCTGCCACCACAGTGCATGCTTTTATTATTTCACCTATCATACTGTATTGTTATTATTTATTTATACTACTTCCTTGTTCTTTCTTCTTTTTCTAATCCCCAGAGTCAGGCCCAGTGTCTGGCACAAAGTAGATATTGAACAAATATTTGAAGAATGCATCATAAAAGTTTGTCGTAAAAGGTTTGCACACAGAGCTCATAGAAAGAAATGCCTTCCTTGGTCTCTTTTAAGAGATGGTATCACCCCATTTGTTGTCTAGGATAATTACAGCAATTCCTCCTGGCCAAACACAGCAGGTAGCTGCCTTATCTCAGTGGCTTACTACAAGCCCTAAGGCTTTTCAAAGCAAACCGAAAGCGCGGATTGGTGTTCAAGTGTACACTGGCGCCATCTAGCGGTGATTTTGTGCCCTAACCACATTAAAAGTTTCATCTTGGGTAACCAAACTTAAAGAGTTTCAAAGGAGATAAGATTGTAACGTTTCCTAAATTTGCTGAAGCATTGTATTTAATATCGTATTTCGTTGAGCCTTGCCACTAGCTCCAAGTTAAGGGTTATGTATTTGATAATTTTATGCATGCATTTTAATTGTGTCTTAGAAACCTGACGCCTAGACGTTTTGGTAAACAAAATATTCTATTTGAAATAAAATGGAATTTCAAAGAAAGCACATGATTAAACAGACCTGGAATCTTAGAACAACGTTCTAATCTCCTATGTTGTTTGCTGTGCCTCTTAGTCACAGAGTTCCAGATTCATGAGGTAATTTTTATTCCTAACACCTTCTCCTTTATTTATTTATTTATTTATTTATTTTTCTGTTCGGACCGTGTTTTTAAAACTAAAGAATCGTGTTCCTTTCATTCTTATCCTAGAAGACAGCAGTTGAGAATATCATGCAAATTTGCAGGTTAAGCCCGAAAGGCTTTGGTAGTGCCCCTCAACTTTTTATTACTTTTGTGGGTCTTTGAACATGAGTTATATAGACAGTTTTGCTTGTGGATAGTTGCTCGTTGATTGACAACTGAGGCAGGGAATCAGATGATGGTCACTGAATTAATTCCTCGTGTGTAGGGATTGTTCTGATGTAAGTAGCAATGTTAATAACATAAAAGCATGTATTAAAAAATCGTCTTCCTGCAGAACATAATTGGAAGCGTAAAATTAATTGCCTTTTTAAAAGTCCGTACACAATGCCAGGGGGAGGGAGGGAGTGTAATTATCACCATCCTACAGAGGAAGCAGCTGAAACGCGTGGAGGTTAGGTAGCTTTCACAAGCTCTCACTGCTGTTAAGTCTGCAACGTGATCATTCAGAACCAAAGTAAAGGACTCTAGAGTTGGGGCTTTCAGCCACCACATGACACTTTCCATCCAAGGACGCAGAGGAAACCCACAGCAGAAAAACGCACAGAAAACTGTAATGTGGTTAATGACTCTTATTTAAACGTATACTAACTTACTTGATAAAAATCTTGGTTTAAATTTATTGTTGACATTATCAACATCTGTTTGTTTCCACTCCTAATTGTAGCCCACAGCCTTCATTCCAGGGTGAGGAGAGTTTCAGATTCGCGTTTGCCTTGTGGTCCCAAATACGTATTTCCCTGCCGCACTGGCCATGCCACAAGGGTGTTTAGCTTAGGGACATGGCTGCTGGTCGCGGACAGCATTTTGCCCATCTCCACACCCCCTTGATTCAGCTCTTGGAAGTGACCTGTATGTCTGCCTTCGTCTTTTGGCAAGTGAAGTGTGCTGGTGGCAACCACTTGTCTATTTGGGTGTTGACCTAGCTCTGGTTCATATATGTTTAGATGTGTGAGTTAATGTGTAAATAATGAATATATAGGGGTTTTCTAAAATTTTTTATTTGTAAATAGAGACACAATTTTGTGCAGTTGCAGTCATATCATATGTGCTGCTTTTTTGTTTTTTACTTTTTTTCTTTGATTCTATGGCTTCCTTCCAACCGCCCACGTGGCCTTTCTCCTCCTCACCCTACTATATGTATAAAAGGATCCATACAGCATAGCATGTAGTCATCCATATGTCCCCATACTTATGTAATCATTTATAAAATATATCTGTGCACAATTGTATATACAAATTATGTATGGGGTGACTTTTTAGCCTTGTATGGTAAAATGGTGGAATCATATAAATACTTTTAAAAATGCATATACCTTTCAACCAGCTAGTCCATTCCTGAGAACCTATTGCACAGAAATGAAAGCACTGATTTGTATGATTATGTGTCAAGAGTATTTTCTACAGTATTATTCAAAATGGCAGGAAGGAAGGGGGATGGTTAAATAAATACTTACATATCTATACCATAGAATTCTAGGCAGTCATTTAAAAAATGAATTTGACTTATGCCAGAAGTGTCTCCTCTACCATCCTCTCTCTTATGGATTTTATTGTTTTTATTCCTTTACTGACATTTTGGTGGGGTTTCAAGAGGGAAAAGAAATAAATGTGTTTGGACCGTTTTTTTTTGTATAATTGAAAATCTGACTAAGTCGATTTTAAGACCGGTTTGGTTTTCTTTTTTTAAAGATTTTATTGGGGAATTGGGGAAGGGGAACAGACAAGTTGCTGTCCTTTTGTTCTTCAGTCTAGTTGTGGAGGACGTCACTTCACTGGCCC